TATCTGTAAAATTTGTTGATAATAATGATGGACTCAATGATTTGGACGTGTAACAATCGAAGTGATTTAACATTGAATTCGTTCAATTGATTAGTTTGTTTTTTAAGTCGAACCAATGAATTTTCAAGAAGGAGAAAAGTTGATTGTAAAAATGTGCAAATTTCAAATAAAATTTGAAACCAGAGGGGTACATTGAATGATGCAACGACAATCAAAAAAATTAAATTTAGACTTGAAATTGGTTCACTTAACGAGATTCTATTGCCAATAAAAAGCAGGTTCACAAAAAGACCGGATAAAGCCAAAATTAGAACAATCGATTTATTAATCTTTGACCATTTGATCAAATATGAGTTGCAAAATAATCCAAAGTAGTTGGTGTTTGTAATTTTTTGATACAAGTTGATAAATTCAATGTAATAGGAACTTTCATATTTATAATTCAATGAGACCAAGCTTAGGCTCAGGTAAACGATAAAATTCATTATTCGTTCATATTTAATCAAGACGTTATTATATCGGTTGGTTTTTATGTCATTGTATATATTGGGTAACTTCATTATGGATACAACTAATAAGACAATCGTGGGGAACAAGTGTAATATTTGACTCCATTTGTTTTCCCGTAAAAGTGATTTTCCAACAATACTCGATGGTCTGGTTAATGTTGACCGATAACTTGACTTGTGTTCATCCATTAAGTTCAATGTTGAATCCTTTTGCAAGTTTGTTCAATGATGCTGTTTAATAACTGGATGGATAACAAAATATATTTATATCAAACATAGATTCTCTCCAGCTTTAATGGACATTAAGCGAATTGGTGCTCTAAAATCATTAGCTATAAAAAATTTACTGAAGAAATATTACCTTTATGAGAAAAGCATTCACTAGATTTTTAATGATGTGTTTAGATCATTAAAAGGTTCATTTTCATTACTTGATTTAACTAGGTAAAGCTGAACCAATAGTCATGATGATATCGTAGTCAAGTATAAATGTTATTTTTCGCGATCGAATAGTAAAAATTCAAATATCAGATTTACAATTGTCGATTAAACATGGAGCCAAGCAAAATATTATCTGATGTGAAATACTTTTACGAACAAGTAAAGCACCAAATACACTGAACGGTTTATGCCGTGTATAAAAGCTATCGAGTGATTTGATTTCTTCATTATTTCGATGGTCCATGTTCTTATTTTAAACTAAATTGCAATCTGATTTTCTTGAATGAATGGAACTACTGGAATGCAAATGAGAGTATCAATGCGTGAAATAAAATCTTCAGTGCTGCTATGTTGTAGCTCTTTTACCCAACTTTGCTTCCCATCTTCAAGATGAGACAAGAGTCAGAGTAAATTAATGGAAAAACAATCATTTTATTTTCATTTCCGACTGATCCATGCATTTAGTACAAAACATTAAGAGACTTGCTATGTTGAATGTCAATTAAAGAAACTGGACAAAGCCAAGCCAATAGTAAGTGCAATGATTGCCGCAGATGATATGAAATTGTCTGAAACCAGACACAAACCAGCAAATGTTAATCCAACATCGTCTCAACTGATTCGCAATAGAAACAATTTTATCTGTAAATTGGAAACAAAAATGTTGAAAAGGTTTTAAGCAATGAAAGGGTCAAAGAGTTTACCTCATTCATGGTTTCAGTTGATCGTACCAAGTTTGGTGATAGTGAAAGATCATGAACTTTGTTGAATATTTGGATTGACAAGTAGTTTACTCGAGCAAAATGGTAACTACTTACACACAGTAAAGTCGCAAGATAGATCGCTCTACCAATCGTGTCAAGTATTTGATAAATGCTTTGATCGGGTGCTGACAGCATACCAATGATACAGATAGAGTAGATTGTCATGAATCCATAAGTGTTTAACACAGTGAATCTGAAAAAGGAATCAATGTGCCGAGTAAACTCAATTGTTTGACTATTCATGTGACGGACTGGTTTAATAGCATGATAAACATCTAATCCAACAGATTCGTTGGCCTTCTTCTTTAGAGAATGAAAAACAAGTGGTAAACACGAAATTTGATTGTAAATAGATACAAGTTTCTAGGATAAATTGCTATTCTAAAATTAAAGCCAATTCCCACATGAATGGCAATAAAAAATTGAGTGAGTAGATAAAGTTCGAACTGACAGGATTGTACTTAAAGTGCAATGTTAATATGAGCATCCTGGTTATGGATTGTAATGTATGTAAGTATAAATCGATTGAACTTGATCCATTTCTTTATGTATGAAATTTGTGTCAAAGTGAAGCAATTCTTGTTGATGCTCGACTGAAAGTCATTTATAAATCTTGCATAAGTTGGACTGTTGTATTTTTAGAGCAATGAAGTTACACCAAAGCTTAAATGACGAAGAAATTTACAATCCTTTCGCATCTGCTGTATGTTAAAGCACCAATATTGATTCCAAGTGGAGTGTTTTTTGAAGATTCATGAATTTTATACAGTTTAATCGTGCATAGTAGTAAAAAGCTGATCGAGGTAAACAAATGCAGTACTTGACTTGATATGTTTTCACGTAAAATGGATTTGGCAAAGATACTGGATGGTTTAGTTGATTTTTCGATGATTTTCATCAATTTATTGTAATCCATTTCAACACAAACAATGAAATTTGAACTATCTTGTTATATCTGGCCTTCTCTATGGGAAAAGAGAAACTAAACTGATTTCATATTTGCTTTTTATATATTTATTGAGTCCAACTAAATTTTTAACCATTTAATATTGCAGGACAATTGATAATTCATTCAATTCATTCATTTATAATCAAAGCAAAGCGTCATTTGAAAAATCATTAGAAACATTAAACTTTCATTTCATTTTATGGACGGATTTTAAGTTTCCAATGAAAACGGTAACTAGGCTTTCTATATGCTTCAAGTACGAAGTACTCCAGTTTTTATGCACTCTTAGCAAGTTATTTAAATAAACTTGGTAAAACCAATAGTAGTACCAATGTTTTTTAGATCATTAAAAGGAGCATTTTCATCACTTAATAAAACTAGGTAAAGCTAAACCGATGCTCAATGATATGGTAGCCAAAGATGAGACAAAACTGGGTGAAACCAGGCAAAGACCAGCAAATGTGAATCCAACATCATTCCGATTGACTCGCAATAAGAATAAATTTATCTACGGAAAAAGACAAACTTTAAAAAATGAATCAACAAATGACTGAAGCTTACCTCGTTCATGGTTATGATTGAATGGGATGAATTCAGGGAAAATGAGAAGTCGTACACTCTGTCAAACATTTGGACTGACAGTTGATTTACCCGAACCAAATGGTATGTAGTAAAAACAAGGTAACATGTTCCGCCAAGGAATCTTGTGATAGCGTATGAAAGCAAATTAGTTGAACTCGTGTAACTCAATATTATACCAAAGGCGAAAATACAATGGCCAATGAAGTATAAATAAAAAGTGCAAATAGCGACTGTTAGAAATGTGTTCATACAATTAATAGATTTAGTTGTCTTCTTATAATGCAAGCGGATTATTCTAGCTACACCATCGATATTAATAGGCGTTGATCGGTTGTTTTGTTGTCGCATAAAAGCATCGAGTAAATTGTTTAACGGTATAAAACTTGACTGACAGTAGATGGTACATTCAATTATGAATTGTAGGAAAAGCGCGTAAAGCATTTGAAATGTGCATGAAACTATTGAAACGATGATCATATAGCTATTGAAGCCGGATTTAAGATAAAAATTGAAATAATTGTTGCCACAAATAGTTGCCAGTTTAAGAAACGATTGAATGGTTTTGGTTTTTTTGCTCAGAAATTTAGTCACATCTGATCCATAACCATTCTTAACGATTGTTTGATAGACATTGAAATATTTAATGTAAAATGAATGATGCGAAGTCAAGTGCAAAAGGGTCAGACCAAGACAGAGTCCATACAATTGGCTGTATAACTTTTCATATTTCATGATATTATTGTAAATGATAAAGTTTGAATCTGAGTCCCAATAGAGTTTTAAAAAAGCTTGAACAATTAAACTTGCTGAAATAGTCCAAATTATTATCTTATTTAACACATTTTTATTAAGGTTCACTAGTAGACGGCCAAGTATACTGGTCGGTTTATGCAGGGAATTATGAATAACAACTGATGCAGTTTCGTCCATTGTGACTGATAGGAAATCTTAATTTAAACTGAATGTCTTTTGTCTGGTCAATCTGGGTTATCTTATTAGTTTCATTGATTAGCATTTGTTGCTGTTGGTGACTTTGTAGCTTATTGAATATGTTTTTCACCAAAACTTCAACAATATCAATCAAACAACTCGTCAATCATGGAAACAGAATAAGTGATTTCAACCGAATCATTGATGGCCAAGTTTGGATAAAAGCCTGCAAGACTTGTTTCAAACTTAAATGTCTTCAATATTGAAAGTAATTGTTACAAATCAATAAATTTTTATTCTGAAATTGTTATAATATGAAAAATAAGTCAGACAAAGTATGGATAACAGTGATAAAAAGGATTTTATCAGGCATAAACTCAATTATTGGGAGTTGATCAATAGATTGAAAACTTTTATCTAAATTGCAAATTCTTTCATTGATTTATTCGTCTGAAAAACATTGTCGATTGAGTTTTTTATGCCTTTGTAAAAGCGTTTGATTGAATTATTATGCATGATGAATGATTGTGAGCTTTGATTTGAAGTTGGAAGCTTTTTCTTGGCCAGTTCGGTTTATTTTTTAGTTTCATCGATTTTCATTTTTTACTGTTTATGACAACATTCAATGTAATTTCAAAAGCTTTAGCTTGGACAATTAGACGATTGAAATGGTTTCGATTATATTATTGATTCATTAATATTTTGATTTCAGAGAAATTAATTGATGATCAGTAAAATCTTTCAGATAGCAATATATGATCACAAAAAAAAGATAATTTGGTAATGTAGTTAACAAAAGTATGGTGAAATAATGAACAAACTATGTAAAGTCATAATTTTTTATCAAACCTATTCAAAGCAATATTACAAATTTTAGGATGAAAATATATACAAAAATATCAATCAGGATCGTCATTAGATGATGTTTTTTTTGCGTTTGCCTTTTCTTTTGCTTCTGTCAAAGCTTGAAGTTCATTCTCTAATTCAACACAGGCTCTTTCTATCTCGAAATTTTTACTAACTAAAGTAACCCATTTCTCTTCCAAAATTTTTACTTTTTCACCAGCAGTTGTTTGACTATTTTTTCGTTGCCAGTTTACTTCTTGCATTTCTTTCTTCAACTCATGATGTTGTTTTTGCAATGAACCAATTGTTGATGTTAGTTTAGAGTTATATTCTTTCCAAGCTTCTGCACCATATTTACTAAGTAAATCAAGGTTGAAAAGTCTGACATCCTGATGAAATAATTGAGATTGCGAATTTTCATATGCTTTTAACCATTCAGTAGGTTCACTTCTTCTGGCAGCTGAAGGAGCCGGCAACTCATATCTTTCCATTGAAAACATTTTGATTGGCTGTCCTCGTTCCATTCTTTCCATTTCATTTTTTAGCATCTCGGTCTGATTGAAGAGAGGTATAAATTTAATAAAATATTGCACAGGAAATACAAATGTGAGCAAAGTTACCAAAACACTGTACAAATCTCAAAAAATCTTACCTCAAATTCGTGTAACTCTAAAGGTGGTAAATGTTCAAGATAGTTTTTTGATGGGCGATACCTTTTGGTTTCTTCTTCAATCATGGCAAATACCTGAAAAACAGACATTGATAAGATTTAAAACAACAGATGGATAGGAAATGAATGCTAG